GGGACTCCCTTTCGTGTGATTTCTTTAATCTGATGATGGAGAAGATAATACGAGTCGCAGAACTGAACCGCTCAGGCACAATACTTTACAAAAGCGTACAATAGCTGGCGTATGCCGACGACATCGATATTATCGGTAAAAATAAGGGCTACGTCTGTTCTGCCTTCTCGGGATTGGATAGGGAAGCAAAGCGAATGGGTCTGGTGGTGAACGAGGACAAAACGAAGTATCTCCTGTCATCACACAAACAGTCAGAGCATACGCGTCTTGGCACCCACGTCACTGTTGACAGTTACAAGTTTGAAANTAATAATGTCAGCCTTGAAATCCAACGGAGAATCACTCTTGCCAACAAGTGCTACTTTGGGCTGAGTAGGCAATTGAGAAGTAAAGTCCTCTCTCGTCGTACAAAGATCACACTCTATAAGTCACTCATCATGCCTGTGCTGGTGTATGGCGCGGAGGCATGGACAATAAAAGCATCTGATGAGGCGGCTCTTGGAGTATTTGAGAGAAAGATTCTGCGAAAGATTTACGGACCTTTACGCGTTGGTGATGGCTAATATCGCAGACGATTTAACGATGAGCTGTATGAGCTTTACAACGATATAGACATAGTGCAGCGAATTAAAATTCAGCGGCTCCGCTGGCTGGGCTATGTCGTTCGAATGAACAGAAATGCTCCTGCTCTGAAAATATTCAACGCGGGCCGCGATGTTGGTAATAGAGGAAGAGGAAGGCCTCCTCTGCGTTGGAAAGACCAAGTGGAGAGGGACTTGGCTTCACTTGGCATTTCCAATTGGCGTCAGTTAGCACAGAAGAGAAATGACTGGCGTACGAAAACACAGCTAGTACAATAATAACAAATTAGCTGCGTATAACGATTCATTTTACTGTACATAAAGACGCGAGCTCAAAAGTTGACAGCGAAAAAATACGCGTAAAAAATTCCGCGAAGAAGAACTCTTAACATAGTCGAGGGCAAAGAAAGACGCGTTAACCTCTTTGACGGGGAAGAAAGGCGAGGAAGAGTTATTTTCGCGGTCAACTATGTTTGCGAGTTTACGAACTCCCCAAAGAGCTTTTCCGGAATGATGTTGAATCCATGTTTACGCGTATTTTTTCGCAAATTTTTTCACGCATCCTTTTTCGCCGTCAAAACCCCCGAGCGTCTTTATTCTTGTCAAGTGACTATATTATTATTATTACGTCGGAGATACCCGCGTTGCGACCTAAGAAGATATATTGTGCTAAATCCTAATTGTAATCGCTCCAATATTAATAATAATAATAGATTGGCGCTTACACATATGTTAGTGTTTGGCCGAGCTTCTCCCGAGCGCTCCAATATTAGGCTATTTAAAAAGCTCAGCACTTTGGATGATGCCATGTTCCAAATTTTAGATGGAGAAGACAATCCTTCCCCAAGGTGCATCAATCTACTATTCATGCTTCGTGGACAGGTACATAGAATATACTCTGGGGTTTCCTTCACTGGCCCACAAAACCTACAGTCAGTCTCTACAGAAAGACGCTTTAATCCAATCGGTACGTTAACTAACTTGCAGTGTGCTGTCAGGCAGTAAGAGTTTTAAGTTCAAGGTATCTTTCGGAGTTCCTCCTGAAAGTTATGAATCTCTTTGATTGTCTTATTCGTTTCGACTTCCGCCAGTGTGCAGCAATTCCCCAAGCTCCTAAGTACGTCTGTAGTGTATCCGTTAGGTGTACCGCAAAAATGTTCGGAACTATACATACGCATTTGGGCTCCACTCAGTCAGCCCTTTCGTTGCCTTCAAACCCTTCATGTCCCTGAACCCTCCACAGCGGTACGATATTGTGGGCTCCCAGATGGTTCAAGAGTTCACAAGCCTTGATGCCGTTTTAAAAGACCCTAAGGCTTCTAACGCTGCCTGAATATCTGACAATATTTATTCTGGCCTCAGACTTCGATTGCGAAGACCTCCGCCCAGAATATGGTTGGCCCATTGGCAGACTTTCATGGAATCTTGGTCCAAGTATGCCATAAAGTATATATGGATGTTCGTATTTTATATTGGCAATAATAAGGGTATACGTTTGTACTTAGGAATCATGTTTGCGGCCGANACCCTAAGGCTTCTAACGCTGCCTGAATATCTGACAATATTTATTCTGGCCTCAGACTTCGATTGCGAAGACCTCCGCCCAGAATATGGTTGGCCCATTGGCAGACTTTCATGGAATCTTGGTCCAAGTATGCCATAAAGTATATATGGATGTTCGTATTTTATATTGGCAATAATAAGGGTATACGTTTGTACTTAGGAATCATGTTTGCGGCCGACGTTATACGAACGCACCGGTGAAATATTCATGTAAAAAAATTGCTAAAATGTTTAGAGATAAATATTTTCTATTTTTCTCAAATAACTATTACTCGTAGTCCCGAAACCTACCAAAATCCAATCAAGCCTACCAACCTACCAAATGGAAAAAAACCTACCAGTTTTGGTAGGAAAAGCCCATGTTTGGCAACACTGATAACGACCACATGCGTAAATTCGCCGCTAGTCCGAAACTATCCAATTCTTTAACGGTTCTCATTTTGTTGAGAGCATCGTTGTTAGATTGACGTTTTTCGATGTTGCAAAATGGGCTTGAAGTTCTGCCGCTAAAAGTAGGCGTGGCAACTCTTTAACCTAAACTTTGCCAAGAACTTTCGTTAGATTTGGATATAAAGTTGGAGGTTGTTGCAGGTAATAACATATCTAGTGCTTCTTTTAAAAAACTTGTCCTAGATATTAATGAACTTGCACTCATTACACTGGCTTGATATAAAAAGAGGATCTGAGTTGCAAAGAAGAAAAGGGTATATCAGGGTA